CCCCTTCCCTCTCTCCCCCTGTCTGCGTCCCTCCCTCCTTCCCTCCCTCTCCCCCTTCTACTCTCTCTGAAAAGCAATGGAAAAAATATCCTATGGGCAGGTTTAAAAAAAAAAACTAAGACTCTGGTGAAAATAGTCCTAAAAGAACAATAATGTGGGGAGTCAAAAACAACTGAGCCACTTCAGTGCATGTAGGTTTGCATGGAAGACCTGGGATTGGCCCAGCTGGCATGGCTCAGTGGTTGAGCGTCGACCTAGGATCCAGGAGATCGAGGTTCAATTCCTGGTCAGGGCACATGTTGGGTTGTGGGCTCGATCCCCAGTAGAGGGCATACAGGAGGCAGCCGATCAATAACTCAACATTGATGTTTCTCTCTCTCCCTCTCCCTTCCTCTCTCTGAAATCAATAAAGACATTTTTAAAAAACCAAAAACTGGGATTGCATGGAAGAGATGTATGGGACTGTGCTGAGGGAAGCACAGCAAAGTGTCAGCCACTGTGTTCAGCCACACGCTGCTTCCACTGTACAACAAAGCAGAGAAAAACAGGGAAGCAGGAAACGGCCTTCTAGTGAGCCAGTCACCTTTTTCTTCCATCCCCTCATTTCATCAGCTGTGAAGCGCACCACCTGTCTGCTGAGTTGAGGTCCTTATCACAAGGACTTCGGTAACAGGATTTTTCATTGACCTTTCTCAGTAGGCTTCTACCCTGATTCCATCTTATCTCCTCAGTATTTCTGGCTTAATGTTCCTCAAGGTGGCCACTAGCACTTCCTATCCAGAAACCCTAGATGTCCACACATTGCCTTTCAGCTAAATTGAAACTTCTCACTCTAGTCCTTCATGCTCTGATCCTAACCTGTCTTTCCAGACTTTTCTCCCATACCTTATACATATCACATGACCATACAGATAAATTTGACACCCAGTTCATCCTTAAGGCCCAGCTCAGCTGTGATTGCTCCTTNCCTTAAGGCCCCGCTCAGCTGTGATTGCTCCTTTCTCTGTATGGTGAAAAAGACTATGGACTTTGGAGTCAGACTGGGTTTGACTATCACTAGATCACTAAACATCTTGTCTGGTCTGAGTTTCAGTTTCTTTGTTTATGAAACAAGAGTGACCTCTGTTCCCTTCATAGACTTGTAAATGAGGTACCTCTATAAAGCAAGTGACTTCCTTTCTGCTGTAAGCACACTTTGTACAGTTCTTACAAGATTGAACAGTTTTCATAGTAGTAAGTCAATAGACAGTATCTAAAATTGAAAAATCAAGATACAGCAAGATGGTCATGTTCTTGAGAACCATGAAGGCAAAGAGCAGAGAATTAGGGAACAGGGAGTTAGGGACTGCACCAGACTATTGTGCATAACGAAAATCTTCTGGTGCTATCTTGACCTAAAATTACGTATTGGGCTACTTTGATAAAAAGAAAAGTGAGTGAAGATGTGTCAACAGAAAATTTTAATTAGCCGTTAGACTGGAAGGGAAAGTGGGGAGATAGTTTAGTCGGTTCACAATTTCAGTTTTGCAAAATGAAGGTTCTCTGGAGATGGATGATGATGGTAGCACAGCAGTGCCAGTGTACTTGGTGCTACTGAACTGGGCACTTATGGTAAATGCCATTTTATGTGTATTTCACCACAATTTTTAAAAATAATAAATTTAACCAAAAGTTTTTTAAGTTAATGCAAAAATTTTTGGAATGGTGTTTGGTAGCCATCTCAGTGTGTATATAGGTAAGGCTGTTCCTCTAAAGCAGGGGCCACCAGTTCCTGTTTGCCAGATGCCTGTCCCGTTTTTTATATTTTTTTGTAAGCTACATTTTAAATGCTTATATAAGTACTACATAATAGCCTTTGGTCCCTCAAAGCCTAAAGTGCTTATTTTCTGGCCATTTTAAGAAAAATTTGCCAGTTCCTGCTCTAAAGTAATTGGCAATTCAATGTATAAGCTCTGCCAATTGCCGGCTGTCTGCCTCACAAAGGCACTTAAATATTCTGGGCCTCGTTTCCCCATGTTTGGAAAAAGTAGTATTTGCCCTTTCTGGAGAGCTGTGTAAGGATCCAGATAGAAAGGAACACACATCTCCTGTTTGCTGTGCTTTGTAGACACTGACCGTTGGCCTTGTTTTATTACTCTGTGTTCAAAACAACTGTATTTGCTAATCAACTTCCTGTGCTTAGTTAGCCAGAAGTTGTTTGATTACAGAAAGCCTAAAGCCAAGGTCCTCAAACTTTTAACAGATTGACCAGTTGGAAAACTCTGAAATTAAAGAGTTAAAGCTAAAACATGGCTGGTATGTGATAAAGGCTACCCTTGAGTCAGGATTAACTGTGCTTAATAAATCAAACACTGCATATTTTTGGTGTTTTCTTACTGGAAATAATTTTTTTCTAGTATTCAAAGTAGTAACTTAGTTGATTTGAACTAAGTTTGTTTCATTTTTATCAGAAAGTAGAAAGCTTTCTGGGAGATACTGTTCTTAATGAGTACTTATTATGCCATTAATGTCCCAAAGATCTGAAAGCCGTATCATTTCCGTTTCCTTATGTTACCCCAGTGCCTATGCCCAGGAGGCTTATTTGATCACTGAAAACTAGTGTGAAAATCCTTCCGAAAGGGCCAAGTAGAAATGATGTTGATACTCAAAGCAAAGGGCCAACTGGCAGAAACAGTTTGCAGCCATTTCCAAGCCCGCAGGTAAACTTCAGAGCTCTGTGGATCTGTAATCTACTAAACTAAAGGTCCAGGGGAGTCAGTCTGAATGTTTGATCCCAGGAAATAGTTTCTGAAGAAATTACTGTGCTTTTAATTACCTGCCTTCCATCGTTTTCCTAATGAACAGCAGTGATGCTACCTTAGCTTTTGCTTTGTGTTGACTCAGAATGGGTTAGAGCATTACATTTTTGTTACCTGCTTGAGAGAACCCTCATTACACTCAAAGTTTAGGTTTAATAACTGAGCCATAGTGATGTTCTTGGAGATAGCTTAGCTTTTAAATTCCTGTACTTTGTAGGTTTTTTTCCATTTTAGGAAATTGGCCTAATTTACTTTCAGCCCATAGAACTTTTTATTGACTTACTGATCAAAGATATGAAGTAGGTCCTTACTAAACTGAGATTGTTTTAAATTAGATCAGATTGTACATTACTTTTATATTTCAGCCATGTTAATGCAGTTGCAAATTCAACTGCAATATCTAGTCTAACTATAGCAAGCTGATATAAAGAGATCTGGACTTCAGGAGATACCTCCTATTTTTGTTATGTTTTGGATTCTCCCCTCCCCGTATTTGACATCTATTTATAGGTGGTATATGCAGTTTGGGTCTGTTTAAGAGAGATAATTAGGGCGTTTAATAGTGGAAACCTAAGCAGGTCAGCTATCAGAACTCTTCAGACTAGAGAGGCTTCTGGAAGGAGTGGCCATTTAATCTATCAGCTGAAGCCATCTGGCAGGACATTCATTGCAGAAATGGTTGAAGTGAACTTGGCAACATCACTGAATTTCACAGAATTTACTCTCATACCTCCAGTAAGGTAATCACTGGACCACAGCTCCATTCCCTTTGCTTTTCTGACACAACTGGAAAAAAATACTCCGTAGGTATGATATATTAGCTGCCTAAAGTTTATGGTCCCTACTTGTTTATGAAACTATAAGAGAACATCAGGTACTTCTTAAGTTTCTTAACTTTGTCTAAGTAGACCTGGCTTTTTTCAGATTACTGGTAGAAACATTTTTGTTTCTGCATTTCAAACAAAATAATCTATTGTTAATCATTTTCAACATGAAAAATATTTTAAGCAAAAATAATTCAGTCTAATCCTTGAATGTTTTCAACTAGCGTGATGCTGAGCCTTATTGCTCAGTAGTCGTCGATTGTCTGACACATCAGTGTAGGAATGGGTGGGGGTGGGAATGGGGGGCGGGGAGTGGTGCTTCATCAGCACCTAACTCAAAGCTTCATTGTAGCCATCTTATCACCAGTACTTAAATCATCAGTATTTTGAGAACCTGTGCCGAGTCCAAAGGCTCTGTTTCCAAAGAGAGTGTCGCCTTGTGTTTATTATAGCCTGAAGTCATTGAAGTCTGTAAACTGTACAACTAGCAGGAAATACTTATCTGGCTGAGACTTCAGTGATAATAAGCATAAGATCTTTTCTAAAAGTATTATAAAAACAAGTCAGATTGAGAAAAGTCAAAAAATTAAGGCTGATTATCTTAGGTAAAAATTGTGACACTAAAAGATTTTAAATATGAAATATAGTATGTCTATTAAACAGGTCATTTAGGGGGCATTTATCTCCTGATTGGTTTCTCATATTACTTTTAAAACTTCCACTCTCCTGTTTGGGATGGAGTATCTATAAACATGAGTGGTCTGTCTCAATTTTATGATACTCTTATTTAATCCTTTGATGCTAGGACACTATGCAAATACAAATCTGTTTTTTTCTCTCTCCCAGGTGGTCTTCGAGGGGTAGCACGCGGTGGTCTAGCAGGACTAACACTCACTAGCCTCTATGCACTGTATAATAACTGGGAGCACATGAAAGGCTCCTTGCTGCAACAGTCACTCTGAAGATCTTGTGAACAGAGGACACTTTAGTAGTCATCCAGATCAATTTATGTGGAGTTCTCTCTCACATCTACAATTAGTTTGAAAAATTGTGCAGATTCAGATTTGCTGTGATGAAGATGGTTGACCAGACTGGCTCTTCTTCCAGCCATTAGTGAGTTTGGTGGCTGAGTAATATGGTTCTCTTTGAAGATCTTGCACCTGCTCTGTTACCCCCTAAACTGGAAAACCACTTACTCCCATCATTCAGGTCATTCTTGTTGTCAATACTATGTTACCACGTTTGTTCATTTAATGATCCAAAACTAATGCCCTGTATTCCCAATAAAGGGTGAAAACAGAACCAAAGTCCGCTCCAATGTAAACATAGTGGGTGTCTCCATTTAAAAGCATCTTTCTGGGTTTAAAGTGAAATCTACTCTTGGCTTTTTTTTCTGTGCCCCAACTAGGCTAAACATGTTTTCATGTTTGTTGAAGGGTTATTGGCAGTATTAACAGCTAGGTTAAGATTTTCCTCCAACAGAGCCGACACTAAATAACCTCAAGATATTTCAGATTAAACATTATACCGTTAGAGTAGTGTGCTAGAACAACCTGTCCAGTGATCATGCTTAATTCTGTATGTATTAACTCATCCACAACAAGAGCTCTAAGTTTTTAAGGAAGCCTTGGGAAAGCTAAAGGAAATAAGGGCAACTTATTTCTGTGAAATATATCTATGAAAAAATAAAACTGCACTGCAGGTTATATACATACACATAATAAATACGAAACAACTGGTGGTTCTGATTGGAAAAATAGGGCCTTTTTGGATGCCTCTGGTAAGGAGGGATTTGGCAGAAAAGCACTGAACTTTAGCAGAATAAAAATTAAAAGGAGTAACATGAAGAGTTTGCAGCAACAGACCAAAAATGGAAGTTAGTAACAACATATCTGTTCTTCCTAATTTAAGATTCATAAACAACATTGATATTTTATTGAATATAAAATTTTTTTGTTGTTTATCAGCTGAACTACCAACCAACAGTTTACCACATTTACATGCGCTAGAACATATTGTTACAAGGTACTTTTACAAATTACAAATACACACGACTACGGCTCTTAAGACTTTTAATGGAGGGTGTACAAAATGCATCAATGCAAAAGACTGACATACTCATTAGCAAAGGGATTATTAATGTAAATTTAGTAATACACAGTGTTCAACCTCAAAAACTACAGTTTCCTGCAACCTAAGATAACGAAAAGGCTCCTTAAAAGGTTTTACCCACCACCTTTATTAAAGTTCTAAATGGTGTCTGGAGGAGACTAAAAATAAAAAGAGGGCTTGCTTTTTCCAGCTGTGGTTCAAGAATTCCAATGAAGCTCTATGGCAAACAACACTGTCAGACTGAAATTTCCCCAAAAGGGCTTTCTAGGTGATGACATCACAAACTTTAAAAGTATTTCCAATATCATATACCAAGGCAAGTTGAGTGGCTCAATAAAGGCCTGGGAAGCAGCTATATCAGAGAATTTAAAAACATAATTCCCATTTCTGTCCTGCAGAGAAACTTTTTAAAGCATGGACGTGACTTTAAGAATCTTGAGAAAACATCAGTTTTCATAAAGCTTCAATAAACACCTCAAGGCACAAGTGTTCAGAATGGCCTCTGCACTAAAATGTCACTGCATTGTACTTTTAGAGGTAAAGGTACACTGTGCTTGCAGTAAGAGAACATTTAACTTATCCCTAGTTAAAAGCACCAGGTGTCAATGTCAAGCTCAACTTCCAGGATGCACCAATAACCAACCCTTAGGACAATGAAGGGTTCGAGTACTACATTTCTAACATGTCTTGCCTTTTGCCACTGGGTTAGGCAGCACTGGGAATCTTTTGCCTGCATTTCTTCAGAATATTTTCAGAGGTTAGAACTACCCAGGATATTTTGAAGCAATTCAGAGCCCTTCTAAAATAGCTCACTACATAATTTAATAACACTTAAAGAAGGAAATAAAGACAAAATTTGCAGTAGCTGAATTTCTCCCAAAAGAAAATGTAGACTCTGATGTATGGGCTAAATGTTTTGTAATTAATGTCAAAAATTGCCAAGATGGCCCCAGCTGGTTTGGCTCCGTGCTTAGAGCATCAGCTAGCGGACTGAAGGGTCCAGGGTTCAATTCCGGCCAAGGGCACATACCTCAGTTGCAGGCTCGATCCCCAGCCCTGGTTGGGGTGCGTGCAGGAGGCAACCAATTGATGTGTCTCCCTGATTGATGTGTCTCTCTTTCCCTTCCACTCTCTCTGAAAAGCAATGGAAAAAATATCCTCAGGAGAGGATTAAAAAAAAAAAATTGCTAAGATGTTGATACACATTTTGGTTTTAAAAAAAAAAAATCACTATATTCTCAAGGTTATTTGTGTGAAATATGCTATATATTAAACAGAAAAAATAATAGCTTCCACCACTAATGGGGAAAAAACCACAGCAAGGGAAGCATCAAATAGGGTAATCAAAAGGTGAAGGAAGTTGACTAGCTTTAATCAACACCCCAATTATAGATCTATTTCATTTTTTAAAATACAGTGTTTTAATGTACTAATAACCCAATCTAAAGAGCAGTGGAGGCTTATGAAAGAAATATCCACCAAGATGCTGTGTTTCTAGTGTAGGGGAAATTAAGTTAATAAGAAGGAACTGAATCACCTTAGTATCAACAAACAGCCTTTTTCTTTTACACAGTAACGCATAATGTGATGACTTCTCTTCACTAGTTCAAAATTAGGCAGGAAAGGAACTAAACTAGCTGGTCACACCCAGAAACACAATGATTTGGCAAGCTGCAGTCACTCGGCTCATGGAAATGTGATAATTTGCAAAAAAGTTGCTTGACTCCACTACTCCATTCCTTCACATCTGTAAAGAAAAGTCCACATAGAAAGAGTCACTTCACTGTAGCATGAAAACATTTCTCCCCACCTTAAAGCATTGGCATGTTCATTTCTCAATATGTCATTTTCACATATGGCCTAGTTATTTCACAAAGCAAGTTCAAGTGAAATACATTAAATTTTATGATCTCCCTCTCTCCCACCCTCACTTGCCTAATATTCCATTAACATGGTTCAATGGGCAAAGTTCATAAGACAAAACATAAGCAGTAAAATCTGTAATATTTGCACTAGTGGCGTTTACCTACCTGTAGAGGAGTTCGATACAACCACTTCTCTTTATCAACTTTAAGCCGCATACAGGCAAAGAGATCACAGACTGCTGGGAGGTCATAACAGTCTTGGGGGAAGTTAGGTTCCTCCTGTAGGGGTGAATGAAGTAATACTTCCTGCAAGAAGACAAAAAGAGCGAGTTGCTAAAAGTAACCGTCCCAGTAACAGTGTCTACGAAGAATAATGTTAGGCATTCTAAGAAGAACAAAGGTGACAACTGTTTGCTCCTAAATCTTTTCCATTAATAGCAATAAAACAGGCTGGCAGGGCGTGTGTGTGTGTCCCCACCCCCGAAGGATGGGGATTGTGAACCTGGAAGATGCACAGAAACTTCAGGAACCACAAATCCTCCATTCTGTTGCTACCATTGCACCAAAATTAATAATGAAGCCAAATTTAACATGTTTAAGGAGCTGGGCCATTTGCAAGGTTTGGGATTAAGACAGTAAAAATCTATTAAATATATTTCAAATGGTGCTATTTTGATACCTGCTTACCTTGGCCTTCTTTCGAAGTAGCCACTTGTCTTCTCCCGAGGATAACTCGCTGAGGTTTCCTGTCTTCTTTCCTGGCAAGACCCAGTCAGCTGTGTTAAAGGGACACCAGGAAGCGGCCACGGGACTCACAAGCTTTTGTTTGCCAGCTGTGTCCTCAGGACTGGGCACTTCCTTGGGATATCCTCCTTTGCACGATGGTAGGACAAGCCACTCTGACAAGGGACTGTTCCTTATCGCCGTGAACGCATCAGCAATTCTAGGAGCCCCTGCCTTTGATCTCTTCGCTTGTTCTGTTGCCTCTCTTCTGGAAGGACAGAGCCACAGACTCAGGGAATCCATGCGCTTCTCTGACTCAGGTTTTGGTTCCACAGGCACGCCATTTTTATCCTTTCCTTCTTTCTCCAGCAGCCACTTACACACCGCTTCCCTCTCACAATTTTCATCACACACACACTCTGCAAAGCTTGTACAGGGCTCATTGGCTTTGCAGACCTCCTCTACTTTATATGGGTCCTGATGGTTCTGGACAAGCCAATCCTCAATAACCATGCTGGGAGTGGACAAGGGTTTCTTGGCCTCGATGTGGTCATTCAAGCACTTCAGATTGCCCAGGTTTTCAATCTCCACACCTTTGGGCTGGTTGCCCCGGCAATTGGTACAGGTATCAGGCTTGACAAGCCAATCATTCACACTATAGGACTCCTGGAACGCCTGGAACAAGAGCTTAAACTTCTCACTGGTTTCACAGCTGCCATTCCCAGGCTTCTCCAGCTTTGGGGATTCCTGGGGAGTCAACAGCCAATCAGAAAGATCCATTTCATCTTGATCAAGACGCTCTAGATCTTCAACCTTTTCAGTATCAACGGAGTAAGAACTGGTGGTAGAATAGCTGTTACCCTTTTGGTAACTTGGTTTTTCAGGAACTTCCTGTTGCTGACTCTTATTGAGCCAGTTTTCCAAGCTCTTTAGGTTACCCCAGACATCATTAAAGAAATTGCAGGCTCTGGCAGAAGTCTAAGCAAAAAGTATGCAGTATTAGTTCACCTGAATATTAGGAGTGCTTTGGGATTCAATGATTCAATGATAAAAGAGTTCCATTTGCCTATTCCCTGCATTGCCCAATGTTTCTAAATTTAAGATACAGAGACAAGGAATTTCTCTGTTGCAATATTAAAATATATATTTGTGTACATAAAAAATACCAATTCCTGCAATTTAGCAAAGTGAAAAATATTAAATGCAAACTAGGAGAAAGCATTTGTAGCATAGATAGAAAAGAAGTTAATTCTACATAATATACCTTTATGAATAAAGAAGGCAAAATAAGCAAAAGATAATTAGGCAAATCATAAAGGCTAATAAACAGGAAAATTATTCAACTTCCTTAATTAAATGAAAGAAACTCTGAATTGTGTCAAATTCAGAAAAAAAACTTATAAATAACTACCACTATTAGACAAGTTTCAGGGAAGCAGGAACAGTCAATATTCTGCTGGTGGGAATATAAACTGATACCAATTTCTTAGAAAGCCAAGTTGGTAATATGTACCTAAAACTGTAATCTAGGCATTCAATTTCTAGTAATTTGGAACTAAAAAAGAACTTATACAAATAGCTCCTGGATGTTTACAGGAACTTTGTTTATATCCTTAAAAACTGGAGATTAAAGTTGTAGCCAATCGATGAAACATTATATTCTATTAAGGATTTTATGGAAGAAACTAAATAACAGAAAAATATATTCATGCTCTCTTAGTGAAAAAAATCTGCTAGCCAAAACAGGGCTTACAGGATAATTTTTTAAAGTATATGTATGCATACAAAAATAAAATATATAAATAAAAATGTTAACAGCAGTAGTCTCTGCATGTTGGTATTATGGGTTTGTATTTCTTTATATAGCTCTTTCTAAACTTTATGGTGAAGAGGTGTCACTATTGTAATTACAAATTATTAAACATACATGTTTCAACAAAGACATACTGTTAGTAATTAACCCCATCTTCTACATCTACCTCAGAAACAATAAAGCAGCAACACACCTGACTGTTCTCGAAGGTCTGCTTTTGGGTCAGCCAGTCCTGGAGATTGGTGCTGGGTATGTAAGGAGCCTGATGACCATTGGCAGGTTTGCTTCCAAGGAGCCATTCACTGAGAGGGACAGCTGTGGTGATGGATGCTGACTTCTGCTAATCACATAATACTTTGCTGCTTAAATGAGGCAATGTCAAGTGCAGTAGAAAGAACACCGGAAAAGCAGGAGACCTAAGCTCTAGTCCTGGCTTGCCACTGACCCATCAGAAATTACATGACTTCCCTAAGCTATACTTTCACAATTATAAAAGGAATACGGCTGAACTCCAAGGTTCTCAACTCAAAATGTCTAGAAACCTGTATTTGAATTGCCTTTAGAAGTAAATAATCTCTATGAATTATAAAGAAAAGGATCCTTAAGAGAGAACCAACCCAAACAGAGAGCTGATGACAACTTCTTATGAAGTAATTGATAACAGTAACTTTCTCTTAATACCTATAAAACATCTAAATTTCTATTTGCATTAGTCTCAAGGGAAGCACTTAATTGTATAAACTAACTCATTACCACTGGTGCCTTATTACAAATAAATGGCAGCCAAAAAAAAAAGTGATTTAGTTAAAACTCAAAAGAAATATTAGCCAAGTAATAACTCAGTTATCAGAAACAAAATTACATTTTACCTGTTCTAGCAATGGGATATAGCCTCTTTTCTCCATGAAGGGCCCAATATTTGATGGATTAGTATGAGTCATCAAGTGCTCAGGGATTTGCTATAATATAAAAGCAAAATAATCTGTTTGTTAATGTTGCACTTTCATACCAAAAAAAGGGGAAATTGTCATTCTTAAATTTCCAAAGTATTAAGCAAAGCATTACCTTTTTTTTTTCCCATTGCTTTTCAGAGAGAGTGGAAGGGGGAGAGAGAGAAACATCAATGTGAGAGAGACATATCAATTGGCTGCCTCCCACAGGGAACTGAGCCTGCAACTGAAGTACATGCCCTTGGCCAGAATCCCTTCAATCCACGGGCCAACACTCTAACCACTGAGCCAAACCGGCCAGGGCAGCATTACCACTTCTATAGAATAAATATTCTTTACACTAAATTCAATGACCTACAGCCTGGCCGGGCATGGCTCAGTGGTTGAGCGTCGACCCAGGATCCAGGCATTTGGGGTTCGATTCCCGGTCAGGGTACATGCCTGGGTTGTGGGCTCAATCCCCAGTCGGGGGCATGCAGGAGGCAGCCGATCAATGACTCTCATCATTGGTGTTTCTATCTCTCTCTCTCCCTCTCCTTTCCTCTCTCTGAAATCAATAAAGATATATTTTAATTAATTCAATGACCTACAAAGTAGTTATCAAATCTGAGAATTCTCTACTACATAACTATAAGAAATTTAACCAGAACTGGTAGTATCACTACTTTTAACAAGACCCAAATGAGACAATGTTTAGTTCTTTATATGAAAGACCAAGCCATAAATTTTATAAGAAATACATCAAAGGTTTTAAGAGATACCAGATGAATTCTTGAGATTATCCATGAGTCAATACCACATCCCAAGAACTACCAGCCTAATGCTCTGTCAACTTAATCAAGAATGTGAAATTTCTGAAGTTCACCAAATTCTCAAGAAAGCCACTATTCATAGTAAAAATGTGATGTTTTTAAGACCATGTGTGAGTTCACAGACCTAAGAAGTACCCTATGAACCATCTGAGATCAGTATTACTCACGATGGTCTTGAGGGACCCAAACGTGGTGATGGCCTGGCGCAGTGCAGTTGTGTCTGCTTCAAAGAGTAGGACAGTCGAATCTTCAGGTTTGAGGGTCAAATTGCCCAGTCTGGAGAAAAAGTAAATAAAACCTGGCTATTTTTAAGGACTATCTATTTCAACTTCATTCAAAACAAAAGCCAAACTGTGAATTATTTGAAGTGATTGTACTTTTCTAAGACTCTCAACCAAAGGTAGATGACTTAACCATGCACCAAGTATAATATTAAATATATAAAGATGATCTTATCACAGGAACAGAGAAGTCAAGTCAAATCCAACAGGTGCAGCAGTAAGTTACACAACTGACCTTTTTTAAATACACCAAAGTCAAAGAGCCAAAACTCAAAAGAAGCAAAAATAGTCTTTACCTCTCCAGGCACACGGAGACTTGATTGGCCAGATCTTTGCTTTGGGTGCACTCCAGCTGATGAATAAGACAATTGAACTGGCCCAGTAACTGAAAGAAGGAGGAAATCATCTAGCCACAATGATACTAAAGGCACCAAGTATATCCAAGTTACAAACAGCACTTCAGAGGATCTATATTCACGCTACAATACAGGAAAGACATTCTCTAGAAATCAGCCACCTTACCCAGGAAAGCTGTTGGGCCTGCTGCTGAAGTGTCTCCTCTTTAAGCTGATAGATGAGATCTACCTGTTCATACAACCACACCTCGCGGCTTCGAAGGCATTCCAAGTGACGGCTTATGCAGCTGTGAATCTGGGCTTTGATCTAGGAAACACATACACAGTAGCTTCACTAGTGTTATAAGCCCAAAAAATGTATTTCCCCTGAACAGTAAGGTTCTTAAACTTTTGGGAGTCACAAATCCTTTTGGATATCGAATGACATCTATCAAGCACCTCCCCAGAAAAATGCATATGTTCAAAATTGCGCCTGTAATTTCTGGGTTCAGTGTCCCAAAGGCCCAAGGATCCAGTTTAATAATTCCAGCCATAAAAGCATACCTAAGCTCTAAAATTCTCCCACAGTACTAAGAGGATCAGGTTTATTTTGGGTGTCATAAAATAATCAAGAGAAAATTAATGAATATGTCAGGTAATACTGATCCCCCTCAGTTTTTTCATGTAATTTGAAAACCTATAGTTTTATAAATTTATAACTGGAATAAGACAAGAGTATTGACTTAACAGCTAGCCTTTATCTCTTTTTTCACCCTACAAATGAGCAATCCATTGAAAGTAGGCCAATTTAATAAAGAGATATGCCACTACCTGTCAATAGCCAGAGACCACTAGGGTGGACAGTTTAAGTAAAATTGTAAATTAAATGTTTCTGGAAGCATAAACAGTGATTCAAAGAGGAATATATATAAAAATCCTAAGGAAAAATCAAAACAGTTATAAATCATCAATGAGAACCCACATTTTTAAAAACTGTCTTTCAAACACATTTTTCTGCAAAATAAAGTTGTATTTCAAAGTCATAGAATATTACTTTGTCTACCCACTCACCAAGAGAATACTATTAAGACAACAGAGCAAACATATTTCATTCTGGCTTGCTCTGATACAGTCATTTACAAAGCCATGCCACCACCAAAACCATGCTACCACCAAGTTAAAAGATGGTAGGGGACAGGATCCAGTGCCATCCTTTAGGCACCAAGGACACAGACAAGCAGCACACTGCTCATTCATTTTGTTATTTTTTTTATTGATGGCAGTACTTGGCACAGGGACCATACGGAAAAGCAATCAAAAATGCATGCTGAGCTAATTCCCTGAAGTGGTACAAGGTTTTCCAGACTCTTCTAACATCTGCTTTATTTCCCTTTGGAATCAAAGACATCGACACTTCTGGCAGACCATGCGAGGATGAGGTGAAGCTTCTTGGTTGGCACTGAGAAGCCAACCCTTGGCCATGCTCTTAACCATGACTATGCTGAATCCAGACACAGCAAGAGAAAAGCACACATCATACCTCTCGCAAGTTATCTTTTATTTGCTGTTCAGCCCGGAGAACTCCACCAATAGCAAGATCCAAATCCCTCTGTGCATCACGACACCTCGAAAGGGGTTCTCTCTTACTGGAGCCATTCTGGTCCTGTGAGGTACTCATTCTGCTCACTGTTCCTTTAAAAGAAAACAAAACAAAAGAACAATCCAAATTGCACCATAATTACAACCAGAAACCACCTTTCAAACCTCCCCCAAATGATCATTCCAACCAACTCCCAGTTACTAACTGCTTAGATTTCTTCCATCACAGGACCGGGCACATGGCAAACTCTTAATAAATACTGCCTCCTCTCCCTGCCCACCACTATTGTATTCCTGCCGTAAAATTCTATGCATCTACTTTAGTGACACTTTACATATGAACAGATTATTTCTGAAAAAATACACCAATTTTTCTGAATCAATAGGGCATACAGCCTCCAAAAAGTTAAAAGAACATAGAGTGTAAGTTTCTATTTATAACCCACATGAAGTCATAAGGGGCATGTGCTCTTGTTTTACAGATTTAGAGATGAAGTCTAAAAGCTCTAGAAGGATCATTACAGTACTTCGAAAAAAAGCTGCAAAAAAACCTTGATAACCAGCTTAGAACACTGTTTAGATCTGGCATTTACCTAAATTTACTGAGAGGACTGAATTTAAAATTCTCTTTTCTTTTTTACATATTTTTTTAAATTTAGGAACAACTTAGGAATGGCTTCATAGCTAGGAAGCTCCCAAGAACTTAAGTCTAACAAATTAATTTCACAGGATTCTGACATAAGGGAGGTACTTACAGAAATTACTGTGGCAAGCTACAGAGTTCTCTAATAAGCTTAGGTTTACGAGAGTTATGAAATAGAAGTGGAAAGAATAGCACATAACCAATGATACAATGAGGCAAGACTGGGACAGAAGAGCCAAAAATTCAATGAAGCAGGGCTTGACAGAAGCCACTGGTGTCTATCCTGGATAGATCTAGAATCAAACATGGTTTCTAAACACTTAGAAAAAGAAAGTAATGATAGCTGTAGCCCAGCTCAGGTTCACTAAGCCCTAGGACACCAAAGTTATGTCCTTGGATAGTTTCATTAAGCTGGCCAGTCAATGTAGTAGACACAATATACCTGGCCAACAGTAAGATCTGTGACAAGGTTGTATGCTACCTTTGTGGACAAAGTGAATATGGGCTAAACAGAAATACAATCAGGTTAAATCATAAGATAATTTTTTACAAAGTACTCACAGGATAACGGACTGAAGCCAGCTGTGAAGTTTTCAGAGGCGTGGCCCTGTTTTCCCTAATTTCTCAACCACTTTCCTAATGCCTTGGGTGAAAACAGAAGGCAGCCATTCAAGCTGGAGATAGCATGGGACTGTGAGAGCAACAAATTCCAAAACAATCTCCACAGAGCTGTTAAATCTTATAAAACAAAATGTAAATTTTTTGAACTTGAATCGGGTAGGACAAAGTAAGAGCATAAATTTTTTAAAGGGTGGAGATTTTAAACTGAAAGTGAGCCCTATATGAGGTAGCAGTGCACTGGGCCTGAGGGGAGATAACCAACACACTATTTGACTGAATTCATCAAAAGTACAGTGTTTGTCAGAGGACTAATCTGTTTCATGTTTATTAGACTATATTTGAAATTTCTTTCTGAATAACACACTTTAGAAAGAAGCATTTAGGAAAGGGAAAGAGGCCTCAAACCCATGACAAATTTCTACAGAAGGGAAGCTGTTTAACCTTGATAAGAGAAGTCTCTTCTCAAACATTTGGAGACATGTCAAAGAGAAGAATTAAGCTTGCTCAAAATAACCTAAAGTGGGGGAGGAGGGATTAAGGAGACATCTGAGGCAACATATGAAAGAACTTCCCAACAGGCCTGAAGGCAATGACCTCAGAGAAGCCAGCTTTCAACTGAGCAGCAGCCTACCCAAGGTAGTCCCTGACGTGGCTGACTGCTCGCCTGGAACAAAGGCAGCTTTGGCTTGTGCTGCATCTTCAGGCCTAGGTTTAGGGCCAGGTGGCTAGCTAGAAGCTGGGAAGGAAGAAAGGCATTGTGTTCCCCATCCTCAGAAATAGAATAGTGAGAGGAAGAAGCCCAGTAGGCTTTCTTTTGACCATCTCAGCAAAAGATTCACATTCAGGAAGTAGACTTCCTATAAGAAACTGAAAGATACAGGAAACTTTCTAACTTCACCATGTTATTTTGTTACCTCAATCTCCTTGAAATTTTTTCCAACCCTTCAAACACCAAGCTGTACCTACTTTGCTGCCTTCATTTTTCATACTATAAGCTGTCCTATTTTAAGCACAGACATTAGTGTACACTTGGCACACACTGTAGGGACTTTGAAAAGGCCTGCATAACACAAGTGAAATGTCAGCTAAGCTTTGGAGAGCTGGAGTGCCCCCACGTTAGCACAAGTTGGTTCACTATGCACTTAGGTTAGTTATATGCAAGGCATGTTTAGCCGTCTTTCAAATGTATTAACCAAATTTCACATGTGCCAAATTTCCCACTCCTAGGTCCTCACCATTTGTGTGAAATGCGATAATGCCAGGCACAGTGCAAAATTTAATCAATAAAATTAAAATGCTGCTTCAAGATGTCAAAAAAACCTGAGCTCTAGGCCATATGGGAGACAAATTCAAATGCATACAGTGCTGACTGTATCACTAGATCCCCAAAGTCAGTCTTCTCACTGAATCACAAACACTATACAACTGCCTGATAAGAGTAGAATATGGCAAAAGTACTCAAGTTGGATTTTTCTTTTATCATTTGTGAACAGAAGGTAGGATGAGATTTAAAAGTTATAAAACTAGTTTTCCCCAATACTTATTAAGTTTTCAAATTAAAATAAGTGTTACTCTTCAAAACAATCATCTTGTTAGAACAAGGTCTTTAGAGCCCATTTGTCAGCCACTAAGAAAACCTGTTTCATTTCTTTATGGCCAGTCCCAGGGTGTATGTCCCTTTGCTGCCCTTGGCTCTGCCCCTCCTCCCTATGGGGCAGTCAGCTTCCACAGCCCAATCCCAAGAGGGGAGCTGTGTAATGCTTGCCCTCTTGTACTGCAGTGAGGAAAAGCCCTCAGAGCTGAAATCAAAACCCCACTACACAGGGGAGCTCAAATCACAATGAGGTGAAGCCTCAACCAGGTTTATGAAATGCCACATCAAAAAAGACTTGTTTGAGGTAACTAGTTCATATAGCCATTTTCAACAATTCACCATTTCTTTCAGGTTCGAGTGCCAGTGAAGCAAGGGTAATGGTTAACAGGTTACTCTGGGGTCGGACAAACCAAAATTCCAGCTGCATTTGCAAGCTTGAGACCCATGAACTTATTTACTTAACTTCTCTGGCCTCAATTTCCTCTGGAGGAAAAAAAAAAAATGGAGAAAATGACAACAGCTACAAAGGGCTGCAGTAAAGTTAAAGTGAGACATTATCTGCCTATAAGCATTAACCCAGACCCTGCATACTGTATTTTTTAATACTGCATTTATTGTTATTATTATATTTACCTGAGTTATGGGAACTTTAGGAACCTCCGCCTTTGGACTGACTATAGAAAGCAGCACTGATGCTAGAAAAGGCTTTGAAGTGAGGAGGCCCTGACTTATAATCATTTAGCCATTTATTAACTCAATAGTCTAAGTATGCACATGTTTGCCTACTTTCTAACCTGTAAAAAGAATGGACCAAATCAGCTCTAATTCTAAAATTCAAATCAATGAATGACTACTAAAAATGTCTTTTCATATTCCAACCTTTATAATCCAAACTACTGCCCTACCACCACCTTCCAAAGAAGACTGCCTTAAACATACAGTTTTTGAGACAAAGGTAAAAGTTTAAGTGCTTTCTAAAATTCCCCTGCCTCTAGGATTCCTAGGTTTTGGGGGAGGGGGAAGGAGGAAGACACACATATATCCTAAAAACAAAAGAGGACTTCTTCAAGCTATATATGCCATATTTGCACAATGCTTTGCACAAATCAAGTTATCAAGTCCAAAGACCAGGGAACCAAAATTGAGCAACTAACCACTAATGAAGCTGAGTCATTATCATATGGTTTAACCATAAAGTTTCCAGAGTTGTGACCCATGTGTAACTGACACAAACTACAATTTGAAGTTGGAAAAAACTTCACCATCACTTTAGCACACTACTGTCATTTTAAAGATGAAGCCACAAAGGCCCAGACAGTTTAAATGACCCACTGAAGGACCATAGCCAGCCATAAAGGGGAGATACGGGTTTCCAAGGTCTAGTCCTGGATTGTGTCCCTCTGACCAGCTTGTTCTTCCTTTAGTGTATTATTACCCATAAACTATTTTTATTTACCAACACTAGAATTTAAAATTAATATTCCAAAATTATCATTCCAATTACCATTGAAATAGTAACATTTATACTTCCATTAAGATTCTCAGTCCATTTTCATAGCCCTCAATAAATTATGACAATTTTTCAGAACCTTCTTCCCTGAATAATGCTAGCAAATAAATAGTACCTTTGCATGTCAAAACAATCAAAACACTGCCAAACACCAGTGCACACCAAACACACTTCAAACATGTACGAAGGACAGGAGCAAGAGCCCTGGGTTCTGATCCCACACCTGTATCACAACCACTCAGAGTTCCACTTGTTTGTCTGAATGAAGGCCTGGAAGGGATCACCTCTATAACTGCAGCTTCCAGCTATTTGTCCCACTTCCCACCTATCCCTCCTTTCAAAAAAAAAAATTTAAAAAAATTCCACTTTTTATTTATTTTCCTGGTATCCGAATCATTGCTAGAAGCACAACCCCTTAAAGCACAATCCACAAGATACCTACTGTTCTATGGATTAATAAATTCAAAAAACTGCCAGTTTGGTTATCTTTGATGAGACAATATACATACAGGGGTAGGCAAAAGTAGGTATACAGTTGTAATACAAATAATACAATTTTAATTAATAATACAAGAATTAAACTGAGTACTCACAACTGTAAACCTACTTTTGCCCACCATATATTTGACCGTAGGTACAAAATTTCTGGGGGAAAAATTATAAAACAATAATATTCCACATTCAATTTTACCTTGAGACAGTTCTTTACTTCACACTTTCCTTCA